ATGGCTTCTATCTACAAGCGTGTCCACGTTTGTTCTTAAAGACATGGGCCTACACGAATCAGGCGGGCTCACAATCCGCCGAACCAGATATCGCCTTTCGTCGATCATATTCTACCCGATATATACTGAAATATCTAGGCTTCACTACGCCATAGGCTTTCTGACGATACATGATCTCTCGTTGAAATCCAGACAATACATGCTGAAAGATATCCCGTGATCTTCAAATGCGCGCACGTTTCTGTGAGATAAATGTTGTGATCGCTTATCGTAAACACCAGACAAACAGCTTACGACAACTACACAGGGGGGAATTTGATGCAAAAGGCGACCCTCCGATGAAGGATCTGAAGATAGATGGGGTTGTGCCTAATAGGTCGTTACTAGGCCCTCTCGATGCTGCAAGTGGGGAGTAGTAAGTCTTCCGCGAATTCTTTGCGCAGTTCAGGCGCGGTGAGAATATCGATGAGGTGGGGAAAGCATCAAGACCTTTTGTGCTTTAACCGAGTCGCTGCGCGAGGATATCCTGCACCGGGCCGTTTATGGTGGTCACCACGCTCTCTGCGGTCGGCCAACCGGCATTCACCGACGTGTTCAATGTCTAAAGCGTTATTATCGTGGGATTGATACCTAGTACTGATTGATTGCGAAGATGGAATGCGAAGGCATTTGGGTTGGGATATGAAGCCACAAGGGATGTCGTGACTTTCTACGGCAGTAGGCTTCACCGATGATGCGGGCCTGATCGATGCTGGGGACACGGTGTGAGCGCCCGGGCGTGACCCGAACAGCACGCCCGCTCACCTCGCTTGTCAATAGACGTATTGGTGGCTTGCTTTAGGAAGATTCTGCTTGTTTTAAAGACGGCGGACTATGCTCCCGTTCCGAGAGGATCACGGGCGTTTGACTTCTAAAACTGAGATCCATCCCGAAATGGGACCCTGCGGAACGAAGGCGAAGGCGAAGGCGGGATGATGCACCGACTGAGTGAAGCACTAGGAGAATATGTTGCGGAAGGCCATCAGGAGGAACGCTGTGGAGGTGGTCCGCATGCTCCTATTGGCAAAGTGGTGGATCCATGCGACATTCCCGAGCTACCTCGCTGCCTACGGGGGATGATATACTCAAGGGAAAGAAAAAGGAGATGCCAGAATGCATATCACAGAGCACTGTAACAAAACCACGACTGAAAAGAACGGTCAAAGCGACATCGATTGACACAAGATACAGACCGCTTGTATAGCATGTCTTTGGGTGGCAAGCAACACAAATTCCCAAGAATTTCTTTGCGGCGACGGGCCACCTTTGGGAGTTGAGACCTCAGAACCCGAACACCAACTGAAGAAGCGCACCCTCTTGCCTGACCCCATCCGCGTGAGTGTTGCAATGCCTTCTGATGGGTACAGCTGATTTGAATACAGTTGAATGGGTACAGCGTGCCGCGAGTGCCCCTCCTACTTTGAGTTGAGTTGAGGAAGGGGTTGCCCCGACCGCCGCGACCGTCCTTCATCCTCGCACCGCCACTTATGCGCAGGGTGGCCGTGTTCAGAACTCTTGGTTGTCTTGCTATCAATCGCTAAGACAAGGTTCTTGGGTTCGTTTCTACCTTCAAAGTGAATTGGAGAAGTTGAGTACGAGCTAGTCTCCTCAGCTATGACAACTGCATGGCGGCCTTGTTTTTCATTAGCAATATCCTTCTTCGCAAAAGCGTGCCCGACAACATACAAAATAGCATATCTCTAAATCGCTACGCAGTATCTCAATCCCACTCATTAGTAGTCCAGCCAAGCAGGGAAACCAAAGAACACTAACAACATATTTTGTCATTCGCATATGGCATTTGTTGTTCGATCAAGCTTCCTGAGAGTCGAAGAGGAGTTCACTGTCTACCTCTTTCCTTTTCCTGTTTTAGAGTCAAACAAAGCAATGACTCCGCAATCTAAACAAGGGAGTTATTCCCCGAAAACATAAGGCTCAAGCACTTCTTTCCTGAGCCGGGTCTCGTGTGAAGCCCTAAGAGTCGATCGTCCGAGTCACCGGGACCTCAAGGTTTGAACAAGCCCCAGGGTCGGTTTCCCTTGTCAGAATCATTCGAGTCACCTAGATACCATGTTGCTAATATCATGCGCAGTGGAGAGAGGATGACAGGATGTCAAAACTAGCCAAGGCGTTGGTAAGTGGAATGTTCCAAGCAGATGATCGCACGCGCAATTCTGGACAATCAAATTAACCGCTCATTGCCAATGCTGCGCCTGGCCGAACGGGCATATAACTTTTCACACTCGTACCTTGTCACAGGTAATGCGACGCCCAATCCAAGTGTAACGGAGGTCTAATATTATGAACCGGAGTACTTCCATTGGTATTGATGCCAAGTCAACTATTGGTCGGTACATTTTCTCCTATTCTTTGATGATATCGCTGTCCATTGCAACACGTTCCTTGCTTCGAAAGGGGTTTACGCCATACCGTCAAGCCTACCATACAACGAGCGTCACCGAGTAGGGAGCACGTTACCCCAGCGATTATATCGCATGGCTTCCGTGGTTGATGTTCTGCAAACCTTTGGGAAAAACCCCGAAGAGGTCCGAGAGTGACTCCACGCCAATCTCAGAGGCAGGGCTACACTAGTCCAAAGTACGAGGAATAACCACAAAGGCGGGCAACTTAGAAACGGGCCGGGCGTTTGCACATGGCGGGAGAAAACGGTTAGATACACCTAGCAGGCTGTACATGATACATCTAGCAGCAGAGCTGTATGACCTCTGCAAATAAAGCTACAACGTGCCAGTCAATGCCAGCATCGTCATCATTCCAGAAACAGTGACTTGTTATTTGAATCCAACCCTCGGCATCAGCAATCACACCATAAGTGAAGGCTCACCCAATTTTAGATATGCGCATCCCGAGCTATACTGGCCCGTGGATCTGCCCCGCCTGCGCCATATGGCGCAGCCGTACAAAAGGCAGGAGATTGCTAGGGCCCGGAACTATATCATCGCTGCCCTAGCCTCCTGCGGGATTCCGTACCGGTTTGAGGTCAACGACCAGTAGTCCAAAGCCGTCTGGCTCAGGACTGTAGTCGGGTCGAGTTGCTAGCTGCGGTATCTGCCCTCCCCAGGTAAGAGAACTCTCCCTATTCTCCGAAGTGTCAAACTTCCCACAAGGACCTGACAGCTTTCCTTTCCGGAGAAATCTCCAAGTACCAATACCTCAAATCATGTTGCCCTACCACCCACAAGACTAACCGGGAAAATGCACCAGCGTCATCCGCCCCGGACCCACCGACCAAGATGACCCCAACCCCTTCCGCGCAGATCTCTTCGTGGTCATCTCCACGGACCAGCGACTGATTGAGGTCCACTGCCACTGCGAAAGCATGCCGTGGTCTAACCAGCTCAGTCCCTTCCAGCGGGAGCTGTGGCTCGATGTCACGAAATTTGTGGACGAAGTCGCGCAGTGGGATCTGTAAGGCCCTTTTCCCGCAAGCCTGTTGAGACGGTATGAGAGGCTTATCCAGTACGCGGAAACCCGGGCGAACGAGGTGCACGCGGTGCGTACACGGTTAAACCGCCGGGGAACGATGGCCCTTGTGGACGTGTATGAGGTTTTCCACCCGTTGCGAATTCACGAGGATTGGGACCGAGTGCAGAGGCTGAGGCATATCTATGGGGCGTGGTGGGAGGAGCTGTTGTATCATTCGAGGTTTTGTTGAGTTGGGCAGGGTTGGCGGGGGGAATCCTGGGTTAGATTCTAGGGCTTGGTGGGTGGTTCGGCCTTTGGAAAATGGGATATGGTATGGAGATATGGTATCCAACGCTACCTAGTATCCTCGCCTGCGTACATCGTGCTCTTGGCCATCTCTAGATTTTCATTGCAGACTGACAGTAAAGAACTCATCTCCTCGATTTAACAAAGAATGACATGTGATGTGACATCAAGCACATGCTCTGTGGCCTAGTGGGAGCCACAGCCGCCCCAGCCGCCCCTCTTCCGCGGCCCGCCCCTCCCGCGTCCCCAGCTTGCCGCTTCTCCCATCTTACCAGCATCCAAGTTATTTCTCTCTTCTCTCCCACCATGCCGACCATAGATGCCCTTCCATACGAGGTTCGAAAGGGAATCGATAACCGCTTCCAAACGGCTCCTAGAGGCGTTCCAATCGCAATCCACGTCTATGAAGGTGGCCTCGACTGTGATACTATCTCCATCCGCTGCAAATATGCCCAAATGGGGATGAGGGAAGATTTTTCAAATTCCACGGTGCTCGAAATCAAGCACGTCGGTTTAAGGTTCGGAGAAAATTAGGAGAGGAGCCGTACCGCCCCAGGCGTTTCCAGTGAAAACCAAGCCCCGCTACGGCAAGAATGGAAGCCGTCCATTTGTATACCAGTTAAGCGGCAGCTGGTGAGGGTCTCGAAGATGTCTTGATCTTGTGGTATCAGTGTTTGTTTGGGCTTAGACGGTCTAGGTGGGGCATTTTGTTTGAATAGATCAGCGCTAATCACGCGGTGACGGATTACATGGCGAGAGTGCTGGAATGCGATGAAGACGTCCCTACTTGTTTGCAGAAGAACGTAGGGCAGTAGAAGCGAATAAAAGTATGTTGGTTAATGATTCTACCGGTGATGGCTGTTTGGGCGTGTCCTGGATGTACTGTACAATCCGGGTGCTAACTTACGTACCCTGTATATATTTCGGTACCGTACAGTACAAGCACAGTCCAATCTCAGCCAACGCCATACAGACAGCCTGAAATTATGATTCTAATTTCTACCCCGAAGAGGATGGTAAATGTCATGTTGATTATCCCCGTGATTGCGTGATGTTCCTGCTTATTGAGAAGCTTAACCCCTGGGGTCGGCGATTAGCAATCACCCCCGCGCTTGATAATCACGACTAACTTAATCCGGGGCCGAACTGGAGATAAGTACTGGTGTTAAATCCGAGCGTCCGAATGGTGTAGAGTCCTATAAATAGCCACTGCCTTTAACCATAGCATATAAGAAACACTCATAGCACGACACTTCCCCAGCATAACAATCCAACCAAGTATCGCAACTCAACTAAGCATTACAATTCTACACCAACACCCTCAACCTTCAACAATTCGACAGTACGCAAACACAAACCCCCGATCCACAATGTCAGAACCCCAAAACGGAACCCAAACCGCCCTCCTCGCCACCGCAATCGGCCAACCCCTCACCAAAGCCACGCGCCCCATCCCCCATCCCAACGCCAACCACGTCCAGATCAAAGTCACCGTGGCCGGGCTCAACCCCCACGACGCCAAATCCCGGGACTACGGGCTCTTCATCCAGGACGCCCTGCCCGCCGTGCTGGCCGCCGACGTCGTCGGCGTCGTGACGCAGCTCGGCCCCGAGGTCACCCGCTTCGAGCCGGGCGACCACGTTGTCGGCCAGGCCGCGCTGGGTCTCCCGCACGGCGCCTCCGAGCCCAACAACGACACCCAAGGGCTGCAGGAGTACGCCTTGCTGGACGAGCGGTATGCGGCCAAAGTGCCTGCGGGGTTTACAGACGCGCAGCTGGCCACCCTACCTACGAATCTTGTGACGGCCGCCGTGGCCCTGTTCGATGCGTCGGGGCTGGGGATTCCGTCGCGTTGGTGGGGCGAGGACTCGGCTGCTGCGGCGTGGAGCTTTGATTATGCGGGTACATCGTTACTGATTTTGGGTGGGGGGTCGAATACCGGGAGGTTTGCGATCCAGCTTGCGGCGCTGGCGCGGATTGGGCGGATTGTGGTGGTGGCTGGGGCTAAGAGTGCGGAGGAGGCGAGGCAGTTGGGCGCTACGCATGTTGTTGATCGCTCGGGGAAGTCTGGACTGGAGATTGCGGCGGAGGTGCGTGCGATCGTCGGCGACGATTTGCTCTATGCGCTGGATACGATCAATCCGCCCGAGAGTCAGTGGATCGGGGTGGAGGCATTGTCGAATTCCAAGACTGGGAAGCTGGCAAGGTTGATTCCGAGGGGGCTGGTTGATGAGTCTAAGCTGTCGACGAAGAAGGAGGCGGGCTTTGAGACGGTTAATGTTTTGGGGTCGTCGACGGCTAGACCGGCGACTGCGGGGCCCTTGTGGAACAGGCTGACCGTCTGGGTGGCGGAGGGGAGGATCAAGCCTACCGGGTATCAAGTACTTCGGGGTTTGGATGCGGATGCAGTGAATAAGGTGCTGGATGGGTATTCGAGTGGCTCGGAGACGGGGCATTGGCAGGTGCATCTGTAAATGCGGGCGAATGATCAAATTGAGGTTAATGGTTGTGTGCGAGATGTATTGCAGCTTCGGCTTTTTGTCAGGTTGGTTGACTTTTGATGAGTTTATGATTCTACCGAGCATAGAGGTAATGGGGGAATAACTTAGAACTTGAGATAGCAAATCGTCTATGGTACTTTTTGTTTCAATCATATTACTTGTGAGAGTTGGTAATACTGCCAATAGGAGTTGTAGTATGTAGTTAGCCCTGACGACTTGAACGCGATCACTCTGCACCGATAATCCTATAGCTGCCTTTGTGTGGAGCATGCTCACTTCTCCACCCATCAATGGTAACCATGTGCAGTACATCATCCATGATGCATCTCCGTATTTTCATCTGTGTTACTAGGGTTCTCTTAAGAAAGAAATCCCAGACCACTAGTAACAGCGTATACTATGCTACAAATCTACTGGAATTGTCAGCAATCCTTCTCGCCAAGAATCCTGTTTCAGGCAGCATCGTCTGCTAGGCAACCATGCACAAGGACTGTTGCCTGTTGTTGCTGCCTATGCTGGTATTCTGTCACACGCCGATTGCAGAGTGGATGTTGCATCCCCGGACCGGGAGCCAAGCAGTGTCTCGTATTGCCCCGCCACCGATGCAAACGAAGATCGAGCGGGGACGCCAACCTTAATTACACTGCATCTCCCATCCAACACCATAATTCTCAATTTTCTTTACCCAAACATTCCATTATCGCACGATACCTCAGTCCGTCCCCTAGATCAGCAATCGAAGTTATGGCAATCGACCACACAAGCCTCTACGTCCCCGAAGCCCAATTCCAGGCCTGCCTGGCCTTCTACCTGGCTGCCCTCAAGCCGCTGGGCTACGAGGTCCGCTACCAATTCGGCGAGTTCATCGTGGGGCTTGGCTCGGTCCACGACGACATCGGCAGCTACCGCAAAGCCGATTTCTGGGTGCTTGGGTCCCAGACCGTCTCCGAGCGCGCGGCGCACATTGCGTTTACTTGTCACGGTATAGCCTCCCTCGTCTTCATTACCGGTAAAGAAAGCGAGGGTTAGGTGTGCTAATAAAATTGTGTATGGACAGACCACGCGACCGTGGACGCGTTCCACGCCGCCGGAGTCCAGGCCGGGGGCACGGACAACGGGGCCCCCGGATTGCGGCCGGATTACCACGCCACGTACTATGGGGCTTTCGTGCTGGATCCCGCGGGGAATAACCTCGAGGCGGTGAATCATGGGCTTCTTCGTTGATAGGGAATTTCCCTGGTAGGGAATGATGGCGGTCCCGGGGGGGGTGCGGGGGGGGTTTGGATGTCGAGTCTCTCTCAATCCTTCATCAGCTCGAGGCTATCACAGATGGGTAAGCCCAGTTGCGGCAAAGCGTCTGTGACTCAATCATAATCAATCATAACAACGTTCTTGCCTTGACTGCTATCTGTGAGCTACCGTAGAGTATAGGACATATTTTATCTAACTCGGGAAAGTGTATCTGTAGCTACATAGCAAAGGTTTACATATCGAGTGCTATGTGTGTAAGACCGTGTTTCATCATATAGCTACAGGCAGCCTAGAGAAACAAAAGAAAAACAGTATGCTAAGCTCTATACTCCGACTTCTGATACACCTAGACCGCCTATGTTGTATCGTGTGAGGTGGAAAGCAACCACAAGGTGCAGTACACCAGGTAGACTGAGGTATACACTATACAGTTCAACCAAGTTACGGCCCTCCCAGCTTGACACGGCAGCTTCAAGGCTGCGACGGCACCGCGCGCAGCTCCTCCCACAGACCCCGCAGCTCGGCCAAATAGCACCGATCGAGGTAGAAGAACAACCCGAGCCGGCGGCGAAGCTCATCCGGGGAGGTGACGGCGTGGGCGTGCAGCGCCCGCGCCAGGGTCCGGACGAAGAAAGCGCGCTCGGGTGCCAGGGCGGCGCTAACGTTGGCGCTGGCGCTGCTGCAGCTGCTGCTGCAGCTGCACGCGCCCATGACCAGGACCCAGAGCAGCAGGTTCGGATACGCCGCCGGGAGTGGAATGATCGGGGACGCTCCGCGGGCGGGATCGAGGAGCTGCTCCAGGGCGACGCGGAGCGCGCGGATGGGTTGCGGGAAGAGGCCGGCCATGGAGGGGTAGAAAGACCAGAGGGTGCTGTTGTGGAACAGGAGGCAGGCCAGGCGCACGCAGCCCTCGATCGACGCGTCATCGTCCTTGGCCAGCCCCGTCGCCGTGTAGCGGTCGCTGAGCAGCATGTATTCGACGTACAGGACCTCCCCGTTGAAATAGTCTTCGGTCGGCTCGTCGTCGTCGTCGTAGAGCGGTGGGGAGTCGGATTCGGCCGCGTGAATGGCCTCGGCGTACCAGGTCAGCTGCACCAGATCGTGAATGATCTCGGCGAGCTTCGGGCTGATGGTGGCCCCGGGGCAGTGCGAAAGTTGAAGCAACGCGGTTCCGAGGCGCGCGAGATGCGCGGTCGGGGGTGGAATCGGGTGTGTTTCAGGCCGAGGGTTGCGGACCGGGGGGAAGATCGGCTTGGTAAGACTCATACATGCGACGCGGCTATCGGTCCTACAGAAAGCATGTTGAGATTTAGAATCTGTTTTGACCCTACCTGACGACGAAGAGACAGATGAAAGCCTCCCGTTACATCGACGAGCAGACTCACCATGAAATCTGATATCGTACGGGATACGGAACGTCTATGAAACTCTTGCGCAGTCCCACCATTTGCCGTAGCCCGGCGAGGTGCATTTTCAGATAGGCTGGCGTACCCGTGGCAATCTGATGGGTCCCGTCCGTTGTTAGGAGACGACCCCGGGCCTCATTTGGGTGAGAAGTGGAGACTAGAGGGGGCATACCTCGATTGTCAGCAGCATCGAGACAGACGCAATCAGCCCATCACTGGCTGCTCTAGCCGGGTCCGAGAGACCACTGTTGACAAGTCGAATGGTCTCGCCCCGATGGTGAAAAGTATCGAGCAGCAGCGCGCTGAATCCCTTGTTACGGGAAGCCTTGAGAGGCAGTTCACGTGTCCGGAGAGCGATATCCGAGGAAGCGACACAGATGCAGGCATGAAGACAGGCCGCATTGTTTTGGATCAATTTCCCCCAATGCATCTTGATCTTGTCGAGCCGTCCACTCTGGAATGGAACACCGTCTTGTGACAGATCAACTAGAACTAGACCGAAACAATTGATGGTTAGCATCACCCACGTGACAGAGGGGTGGACTGCGAACTTACAATGCTGCAAATGTCGCATCATGCGATCGGTAAGAGGGGTGTGGGAAGTGTTGAAAGGGTCAATGGCCGATTGCAGGCCCAAGCCCCGGGGAATCAGGGACGAGACTGATGACAGCACCTCTGTACCTTTTTCCTGGCTTGGAAGGACAGCCGACTGCTCCTGTGCCGGTGTCGGTGCCTGTGCCTGTGCCTGTCCGTGGGGGCCGGAATCGGGCTTGACCGGCGCAGATCGGAAAGCGACCTGTTTCCAGGTTCGGCGTTTATGTAACTGCGTGCTAGCGAGCCTTTTCTTGCGATTATGCTCGGACATGACATGGGAGCGAATCCGTTTCAGGTCCTCGGCCCGGGTGCCCTTCGAGATTGATTTTGGATTCGCATGGATCCAGAACAGAGTTGGCCGACCGGCCCTTGCCCCGGGAGCCGTGCGCGGTTTGGGTGAGGGTTGGCCGGCGTCGTCGGGCGTGGCGACTGTAGCAGCCCGTGAAGTCAGATCCGAGCATGGCTGAGGATCAAGGACTTGCTCCTTGGTTTTCTCAGCAGGAGTAATGCCGGTCCCGGGAAGATGGTAGGGCTCTTGGGGGGCTGATGAGGTCCCCACGGCATCAGTCCGGGCCAACCGGGCAGGCAAAACATGCATATGGCAAATCAAATTGACCCATACGCCCAGAGCCTGTCAGGGTCCACACCATCAAGTCAGCGGAGAGTAGTACTCAGTGATCAGCTGGTGAGCGAGTTGATGCGGAGAGGACGAAGAGAGAGAAAAGAGGGAAGAAAAGACAAAAGTGGCCAGGAAGAGGGAGAAGGGGGGGGGGGACTTACCAGTGATCGAAGAAAAGGAGGCGGCACCGGCGCAAGAAAGAAGAGACAAGGAAGAAGGAATTACCAAGCAAATTGACTGGTGTCAAGCTTGGGTCCATTAACCATGATCGATAAACCACGATCCACTTTGCTAGTACACCGGTTTTACAATTTATAGTCAACTTACGCCCCATCCCCGGGTCACCGTCGATAGCAACACTAGTTAGTATACAAAGTATACCAAGTAACATGTAACTAGTGAAAACTTCCTAGGGTTGGGGTTCATGTTTGTTACAAAAGCAAGTATTGTACAGTACGCACTATTGTGGTCGTGTCGACCGAGCGGCGAAGCGATGTGAACTTAGGGCTCCTCCTGCACAAGCCTCAGATCAATGTTGCCTAGAATTTATTACAGTATACAATGATACATATGAGGAGTACCAACCACTATTTAATTAAGTACTATGTACTCAAGTACGTACGTACGTAATGGGATCGTGGGGATCCACAGTGATCAGCCCACATGAAAGCTTAGTTTCTTGCTCAAATGAATACACATGTGTTCTCAGACCCCACTCCGGGAAGAGGAGAACAGTCCCGCGGTACGCTCGGGCCATGCGAGGGCACACAATTTATCCGCGCATGGGCCGGGCGGATGCAGACAGACCCAGTACGTCAGGAAGAGTCTTCGCCACATGTAACAGTACACTATGTACATAAATACATCCCCTATATGTATATATCCATACATTCACACGGCCAGCGCCGAGAATAATAGAGAATAATAAAAGTAGGATAAAAGGCACTAAACCGATATTCCAACTCTTGTAATCGTCTAAGAATGATCTTGGGCTTTCGCCCCCATCAGCCAGCATTTGCATCACAATCACCGGCTATTGCATCGATGGCCCATTGAATGTCCCCCAAGCGATCATCACGGCCCAGGAGCTGGCTGATCTCCTTCAGAATCTGGATGCCTAAGTTGCCCATCCACCATTGCGACCGCAAGTGGTACAAGACCACACAGTAGTGGGCGAGGATGGTCAGTGCAATGGGCTGCTGGTCTAAAGCTAGATCGACGAATCCTGCCGGGATCTCCAGCAGCCAGGAGAGCCCGAGCAGCCCCGGACGGCTGCTCCAAGTGAGATACTGCAAGCATGAGCTCAGGCGATCGATGGCTTGACTGTAGATAAGGCTGGTACTGGGATCCAGTCTTGCCTCTGGATCGGCTTTATTGACCTGGGCCTTGTTGCGCAGGGCATGGATTGCCAGGGTGAAGGTGTTTGGCATCATGCGATGGCTAGCCTCCTCGGGGCGGACTAGAGAAGCCAACTCGCCTTGCGCAACGTCATCAATCAGTTGGACCAGGATTTCTGGCGACCCACGCACTTGGCGCACAGTATAACAGAAATCTACGATCGCGGATCTGCAGGAGGAGGAGGAGGAGGAGGGGGGAGGGGAGCAGGAGCTCCACCGTATGTGACCAAAGGCAAGAACTATCAGGATATTGCACAGGGCAAATAACGAAATGGAGTCGTTGCGCGGCAACCCCGACCTTGCTGGGTTGATCTGATTGTCCAGCCCGGCGCTTGCTCGATCCCAATGGAGGATGACTAAACGCCGCAGATGTTGTTGTTTGTGTTGAGGCATCTGTACGCTATCCCTCCCACAGTTGTAGAGCATGTCTAAAGCCGACAGAGCCAGGATGCTATTCAGTAGTGGTGGGTAGCTCATGCCCTCCCGCACAATTCGACTTCTCCAGATTGACCCATTTCTCCCATCGAGACTCAGAGACCGGTGTGTTGAAGCACACCAACGAGCTAAGAGAGTCAGGTCACATGGACCCAGCGTGCAGGCCTCTGGCTCATTGCTGCGGCAATCGACAGCCGGATCCGTGAGCGATGATCGTGGAGACGAGGGCTTAGACTTAGAGAGGTGTGGATCGGACCGTGATGGGTATGAAGAAGGGGAGATAGATAGTTTTGGATAGAAAACCTCGTCGGCCTGATCGGTAGCTAAGGAGGACGATGTTGATGGGCTCTGGCTGCGAACCTGCGAGCATTGTGGTTATCACAAATGTCAGTCCATAACCTTCAGACCAACACGCAAAGGACAGCGGCGTACCAGCCTTTTCCGAGCATAGTATAATTGGTAAGCATGATTCGTAAGTACATTCTTGTTTTCCAGCAAGTCAGTCATGTTGTTGCCCGGCGAAGCAAGTGAATGAAAGTGAAAGAGTAAATCAACGGTGACAAGAGGGAGCAGGCCAGGGATGACGCTGATAACGAAACACCATTTTAACTACAATATATAAAGGTGAGGGCACTTTGTGGATAGGTGCAGGCGAAAATATCCCAGCCCGACCAATGGACAAGTTTTGCGTCGTGCACGAGCAGGGAGTGAAGCCGACTAACTGGAAAAAGTAAATGTAGAAGCAGACGGGACTCGAAGTTGAAGTGGTTTACTACAATTACCTCTCAGTTAGGTACTAGGTACTCACTATCAGGATTAGTATACCGTCACAATAGCGAAATACCTACGATTTCATACCATACCGGCCGGGGCGTGGGGCCGTGGATTTTCCGATTGGACCTGCGGAGCTCTAACCATTCCCAGCACCCAGCTCGGCCAAAGCCCTAAATTCCACGTATTTACTCAACGGCTTGCTACCGTCTATTCAATTTCTGCTCTCAGGTGCTCAAGATGCAGCCCATTCCAGAGCTTAGACCTTCTGCATATCTCCTGTCGGGGGTGTGTCTCACAGTGGCCGTCCTCGTGCTGTTTAGCTGGGTTTAAAATGCCGTGCAGAATCTCCCTTACAGCCGCATCCCCGTGGTTGGAACAGGCCAGTGGCCTGTGTTCGACCAGAAAGCCAGTCTGCGCTTCATGTCCTCGGCCAGGGCTCTGATCCGTCACGGTTTCGAAAAGGTAGGAATCTCCCTTCTATCCAATGCGGGTGCCTGCCTTGCACGAGACCAATGAGCCAGCGAGAGGCTGACTGATGCGCTCGTCCGTTACCTGCATAGGGTCACATGATTTTTCAAGCCATGTTCCCCCACGGCCCAATGTTGGTGCTTCATCCCAAGTATGTCGAGGAAGTTCGGAGGCACCCGGCCCTCAGTCTTGAGGAAGCAGTTAAGAAGGTAGTGTCTTTGAGCACATACGTTCTGGAGAGTGGACAGTGTTTTAAAATCAGGCTTTAGTCTCTTCCGGTCGGAGATTATCCCGGCTTCGAGGCGTTCCGGGGCACGGATAACCACCACATTTTGTTGGATGTGATCAACCAGAAAATCACTCGCAATCTGAGTATGATGGCTTTCAACAAGGACCCGTTTTCCGCAGCCTGAGCTGAACCCGCTGCTACAGGACAGTACACGAATCCTCTCTCCAGAGAGACCGCTTTGACGCTGGAAGATCATTTCGGTCAGCCCCAAGGTTTGAAATGACCCCGGTTCTTATTGGAATGCTGTGGTTAATGGATTCCTTGCCCTCGAATAGACTGGGAGCCCCATTTCTTTGCCCGCGAGGTCCCCTACATCGTCGCGCGTCTGTCGACCCTGGTTTTCTTGGGCGAGCGAGTGTGTCGCAACCCGGAATGGCTGGATCTCTCGGTGAACTACACGCTGGACATCTTCGGCGCCATCACCGCCCTACGACGCTGGCCATCTATCCTCCGACCCATCGTGCACTGGTTCCTGGCACCCGCCCAGAAGCTCCGACAACATGTGCGGGTGGCGCGCCGGATCATCCGGCGAGAAATGGAGGAGCGGCAACAGAACAAGAAGACCACGAGACTGGCGGATGCTCTGGACTGGCTCCACGAAGTCGCCGCCGGTCGTCCGTTGGACGCGACTACAGCGCAGATCGGGTTGACTCTAGTGACTATCCACACCACGTCTAACCTCCTCACCAACGTCATCTACGACTTGGCGGCCCACCCGGAATATCTGCAGCCCCTGCGGGAAGAGATCCGGTCGGTAATGGAGGCCGACGGCTGCTTCCAGAAGACCAGTTTGACCAAGATGAAACTCCTGGACAGCGTGGTGAAGGAGAGTCAACGGTTGAATCCGCCCGGGCTAAGTCCGTGACCCCTCCCTCTGCAGTCTTTTCTTTTTTTTACCTCAAAAAAACTCCCTTTGCTTTGGATTTCGCGACGGGTGCTGACACTAACTCAAATGGCTCTCCAGCTTCCCTGCACCGCTATGCCACGAAGGAGATTACCTTCTCGGACGCTACGGTCATTCCGAAGGGCGCCAGCCTCGTGGTCTCTGCCCATAGGATGCAAGACGAGAGCATTTATCCCGATCCACACAGGTTCAACGGATTCCGCTTCCGGCAGAAGCGCGAGCAAGCGGGCCACGAGAACAAGCATCAGTTGGTGATGACGAGTGCGGAGCACTATGGCTTTGGGCACGGGGTCCGCGCCTGTCCCGGCCGGTTCTTCGCCGCCAACGAGATCAAGATATTGCTCGCGCATTTGATCATGAAGTATGACATCCGATTCCCCGACGGACAGTCTCGACCTCCCAATTGGGAGATAGGGGCTGACCTGGTTTGTGACCAGACTGCGCAGGTGTTATTCAAGGCACGGCTGGCCGATTCGGGTCTGAGTTGCTTAGACTAGAATCAAAACTGGAAACAGAGAAGACACGCTTAGGGAGAACACGTGTTTAGAGATTATGCACGGTCAAGACATTTAGAAATAAGCACCTTTTCAAGGGCTATTCTTCTGCAGGACCAGAAACTGCATGTATGAATTATAAACCAACAATTGATAAGATATTTTCTTAGAAATTCGCCGACGACACGTGTTGCAGGCCGCTCATGATGGTAATCTAAAGAGGAGGTCGAAGACATTAGGGTTGTGGATCTCAGTAGATTCTCTTTTGGCCACATTAAACTAACTCTTCCCGCCCTCACAGGCCGGGTGAAACGAAACTCGTTCCTGCATTTTCCGTCTTCATTGTAAGAATCGTCCGCAAAGAAGCATTCGCCACCCGGGAAGTTACAGTCTCCTGAATTTCTCTGTTCGAATGCAAAAGGCCGAAGCAACGTGGGTCTCGCTGGAACACCTTTCTTACCGATAGGGCATGACCATGGTAATCAACGTCTGGGAAATACAAACGCGTTCTCTAACGGAAAGAGGTGGGTAAGCTTTGTACCATGTCGGGTACTATTTTTCATTGAATCATGCTATCGTAGTAGTTGCACCATATCAACACGCCATAGGTTCCCATTCAAAACCTGTCTATAGTCTCCGAGATACTGGGTGGTTACTCCAAAAGCATCCATACACCAGAGAAGAAGATGCAAGCTGTATAGTCGAGATGGCCCCCCTCCCGACCCCTCCTGCCCCCTTGGCAATCTCGTTATGCGCGAAGCGAAGATAAAGTGGTTTTTGTCTTGACGCCACATCACAAGACAAACATCCGCCAACAGTCCTTCCGCTTGGTTGTCTCTGCTCTCTGTGTTTTCCTTTCTCTTCTCTTTCTTTTTACGTTTCCTCCTTTCCCTGCATATACTGCAAGTGAGAACCAGAGACAGGTTCCACTTCTCCTATGCACCCCCATGACGACCATCCCTGCTATCCCCAATCTCCTTCTTGCCATGCTTTAGGGTTTGACCAACCTCACTTTGCACCGGAGCGCCCTCGTCCGCCTTCTGGAGGCCGACCCCGCTCACGATCAGGATCCGCATCACCGTGATCGGGGCGGAGGTCCAGAACATCAAGTGATCCTCGGCGGACCAGATCCGGACGTTGAGCCAGATGTGCCAGCCGCCCACCGCCTGGGCGACGGAGTGACACCAGGCGAGGTCGCTGAGCAGCATGGCCGCGCAGAGGAAGCGCCACAGCCGCTCGTCACGGTCGAAGACCCGCAGCACGACCGCCTCGACAAAGGCAAAATACAGCCACGCGCCGCCCAGCTCAGTGTGCAGGAATCCCACCTCCGGCACAAAGGGCACGGCGCCGCGGGTCATGCTGCTCATGAACACGGTGGGACACACCAGCGACTGCAGAGCCCCGGAGAGGGCGATTATGGGCTCGATCGTTGTTAACACGAGGCGGTAGATGTAGGGAATCGTGACGGGACCATCGGGGACGATCCTAGCTCCGGGCCCCTTCCTGGTGAACGACAGCCACGGAAGCGACATCGCTGGCGACATGAACGGTCTTGACACGATGGCTTGGACAGGTGTGAAGGTGTGAGGAAAAAAGGGCTGCTTGGTATGAGGAGTGGTTCTTTGATCGTTTTTTTTTTTTCAAGGCACAAATTGATAAAAATTGGCGTCGAAGTTCCGTGCCCAGAGAGTCTGCTCTTTCGCATCCAATATTAAATGAGGAAGAGAAGCGGTGAGTACTTCCCATAGCTTATGGCGAAGTCAGTCTCGCAATCTCACATACGACAGTAGATCGTCTTATGTAGTAGCTTAACCGGCAGACTTGCATTAGCGGACATCAGTAGGCCGCAGCCCCGATCAGAACATTCATCCTAGTCTCTTACCTACGCGATGGGTCTAACGGCTTGCCGTTCACAGATAGCAACTTTCCATGGCTCCACTTATTGCCAGACTAGATGGCTTACCAGCAGACTGAGACTGAGGATTGACTCCGATCGCTTCAAATAGCGGTTGGAATTGTTGACGGCTGCCTACCCGGCTGTGAGTTGCTTGGTTACTTGCTTTCTTTCTTTCCTTTTTTTTCAAAGAAGCGTTGCATCTTTCACTGAGGTAGCCAAGCGAATGCCTCGCCTCCTATCCATTGGCAAATATCCCTGTTAGGTATACTCAATTTCGGAGACAATGTTGCCTGAAGATCGATGTGCTTTTGTTTCCTTGGTTACATAAGGATGTCATAACCAATGATACCGGTTCCAATTCCAAAGCCATACTTACCTACTAAGTTCACACGCGGCCCACTGCGGAGACTAACAAGGTCAAGCTCCCGCGCTATCTTGGGCTTTACCATGTAACAGATACGGTGATACACACTGAGTAAGATATGGTACGTAGTAGTACAGTACGTACCGGAGATGAGTTCAGTGGATGATTCGGTCTCCGACAGCCTGAGCCAATCGGATTTCACTCCATCGATCATGCATATACCCACTTTTCCGCCATGTGGATTCAGCTGCCCGCTTGGGAAAGGAACCATTGCCCATATATTACCTTGACGTCCTGAGGCCGATGTATTATACTAGGTCCTCAAACAATAACCCAGAACGAACTAGAATCTCGCCGCCATTATTCCAAGCTCTCCTCTGCGTAGAAAGCGCAGGCTACCGCGTTTGACCCTCGGTCAAGATGGAGTAGGTGACCCAATGGCACGAGATTCATTACAAGTTTCAGGAACTCATGAAAATACCGGTACGTTGGATTCGACTTGTGCGTTGGTCCATGAGGGAAGAAACCATGGCCCAAGGAGAAGAGATGTACGCGACTATTGTATGGACTAGATAAGTCTAGCAAGCCCACCGGGTTAGACTTCGCCCCCTTCCTCCACCCCGCCCCCCGGCAAGATAATGAAAACAGACTTGGGGAGTAACCGGCCGCTGGAAGACCATGCTTGGCAAGCGAGAACCTTTTCTCTAGTGGGTGGTTAGCATTTTTTCTTATGGATGGACGTTTGTGTTTTTCCTTGCTAAACTCACGCACGTGTTGTCGATGGTGTTAACGATGATCTTACCCAGCTATTCGATGACTTCGGAGGCTCTGCTGGCTTCGAACGCGGTCACCAGCACCGCTGTGATTGCGGGCATCCTCCTGATACTCTTGCAATACGTCTTTGGTTCCCGCAATATCAAGAAACCGGTTACGAGAAGTCCCGACACTTCTCCTCCGGAGCTTTGCTGGTCCACGAGGAAGATTGCGCATTCCTTTTTCACCACTCCGTTTGACTTCCTAGCGGAGGGCTCTCGAGCGACCGAATCCAAGGTCTTCCGTTTTCTACTGGACAAGAATGAAGTCATTGTGGTGTCAGGCGAGGAGGCGAGGCGTACGTTCTTTGGGGAGAAGGCTCTGAATCTCTACCAGGGGTTCCAGGCCCTCATTGGTACTGTACGTGATACTTCTTTGATCTGAAAAGATGAGGCCGTATACGATCCTGACTAGTTACACCTTCTTCCTCCGTCGGCGACAGATCCCTACCGGTCTCAACCCCCAGGCACTTCATGGTATCTACAAGCGATTAAATGTTTTGCAGAAGCCGGATAACCTCCAACATTGTATGCACTTTCCCAGGCACCCGCAGGGGTACGGTACATAAAGTGGGACGTCATGCTTAAATGATGTTACTTCCAGTGCTTCCGCAACTGCTTGCAGACTGTCATCGCAAAATGGATTCCTGGGACAATCTCGTGATTGATCCATGCTCTACTGTACATGGAGTAAGTGCATAACGATCTCGACTATGTTGGGGATATATCCTTGCAGGCAAGCATTCTACTGATTCTCTTCTAGGTCACCTTTCAGATGATCGTCCGTGCCGTTACTTCACATGATGTGGCTGAAGATCCACGCCTAGTGTCTCGCTTGAAATACTTCTATGATGTGATCGACGCCTCGGTCAAGCCCAGCACCTCATGGCCATGGGTGCCGAGTCTGGCAACACTCCACAAGCTGCGTGCCTCCATGTTTGTTTACTCGACCTTCAGACAGGCTGTTAAGCAACGCGTCCGCAGTGGGGTCCGACGGGACGACACTCTCCAGCAGCTCCTCGATTCCGGAGAAAGTACCCAATGCATCACGGGGGTGAGTAAATTAGTCCGGTCATGTTTCGTGTCTGTTGGTGCATGTTATTATGGGTGCTGATTGTTACATTTTGGTTCGGGTCTGATAGTTCATGATGGGTCTCCCCATCGCTGGGGCGCGATCTACGGGCACGATCGGTACGATATAGAAAGCCCCCCTCGAGCCTCTCACGTTCATTTCCACCTTACTCGAGTGGTCTACCAAAGCTCTCTCCGGGCAATACTAATTCAATTCCCTTGTCTGGAACTGCAGGCACGTGGCTTCTCCTGTTCCTCGCCCATGAGCCGATCTGGTCCAGGGCCGTACGCACGGAGATCGAAGCCCTGTTAGGCTTACCCACCACCACCATCACCACCACCACGAAACCCCGCGAAACAATCCCTCCAACCATGATGTCTAGGGAGCAGATCCAGACGGCGCTATCGGCGGTCCCGCTCGCCGCCTGGGAGTCGCAGACCCCGCGCCTCGACCTCTGCATCCGCGAGACGCTTCGGCGCGCGCAACCGCACATGGCGGTGCGCCGCAACACCGGGCCCGACCTGTCGATTGGCGGCTTCACAATCCCCTCCGCGGCCTTCGTGCTCTATCCCTTCTCGGACGTCGCGTTGGATCCGAACCTTTACCCAGACCCGCTGCGGTGGGATCCCGCCCGTCCGATCGTCGACCGCGACGCCTTTCTCGGGTGGGGCGGCGGCACCCACCTGTGCAAGGGCCAGCGGCTGGCCACCCTGATCCTGAAGATCGTCGTCGCCTACGCCCTGATCTGCTATGAGATCTCCTTGGTCGGGAGCGACGCCGCGCTTTCTTCGGACGGCCCGGTGCCAGACTGGAATGACTACTTGACCTGTCGGCCGCGAGGGGATTGTACCCTGCGTTTTAGGGGACGGAGGAAATGAGAATGCGGTTTGTCGGGTTTCATTGTAGATTCCCACCTTGTATCAATTGTTTGGGAGTAGGCCTCGGGATTGTCGCTGGATTAATCAGGATGAGGGGACCGGAGTGTACTATAGCATAGACTGAAGGAGATTATAGAATCTTAACAGTTGCGTGGACCGTGAGCAATGCCAAAAAATCCGCGATAGTCATGGTGGTCCAATTGCAAGCTTTTCACGCAAGGAGCGCGGGCAAGTTAGGGTTCTACCTGTCCCCTGAATCACGGGGTCTCGTCCCTACCCCTGACACTTCTATATGACTGGGGTTTCTTGTTCTTATGAACAAGACTTAAGTATCTTTTTCCACACTCGTTGCGCACAGTGTTTGTCTGCCGTTCACGCTGGACTGCTCACCCAAATTCACAAGCCTGACTAACTTATGAGGTACCCACTTCTCCAAACCCCCGGGGGTGTTTGTAGAAATTCATACCGATTAGCCTCTCTTGGAGCACCGCTGGGCTCTTCCCAATACTAGTCCGGCCTCTCCAACCTTCAGACGGTACCTTGAGAGATCCCATACGTCGTAAGGACAATGTCCGTACAATCCTCGCCTCGGGCGGGGGGGGGGGGGGGAACGGGTTCGGTGGGGGGAAGTCGACGAGTGGCCGGGCAAGGTTGAGTAGGCTCGGTTCACATTGGAGAGAATAGGGGTATTCGGTCCAGAATGTTGTACGATATTGAACGTATCCACATCTTGGACTGATCAGT